TGAATAGCTATTGCTCTTCCGTCTCCTCCTCCGACTCTGGCCAGCGTGGGGCGCCTTCTTCCCGCGCTCCTTTGCGCTCCACCTCCCCGCCCACTCAGGGTTGCCTCAGTCTCGGGGTTGGTGCCGCTTTGGCTCCAGCTGCCGCTGGATGCGAATCGCCGTCCTAAAAGCGTATTGACTCCCAGGGGCCACCGTAGCGGCGGCCGGCTTGCGCTCAGGCGACGCGAAGCTGCCGCCGCCATGTTTTCTCTGGGCCACTTCCGCGCTCCCCTCCGGGTCCTGCCTTTCCGGCTGCCTGGTCCACCTGCCGGCGAGGAGGGGACCCTCAGGCTGCGCGGGTCGCCGGAACACGGCTGTCCGGGCCCATCTCCTAGCAAATCAGCAGGTGTCTTTAGAGCTTTTTCAGTTATTTGCACCTCAAAACAGTCTTTGGAGACAGAGGAGGCAAAAATCACTAAGTGTCTCGAGGGCTCGCTCCTCCGTATCCCCCGGGCCGGGAACGGGGGGTGGGGCGGGGGTCAGCCTAGTGGTCGCTTAGTTAGCGAAGACGTCCACATGTCCAAAAATCTCAGTAATATTTAAACCCGGCTTGAGGCAGCAAACAAAAGTGGGACTTATAATTACGAGGTAACATTAATTTAAGGACTTGAAAACGTAACTTTCTTCCCTGTTGTAGAGGCCATTGTCAGCACTTAAGATTTGCTGGTTAATTTATTTCAGTGATTTTCGGGCTCCTTTATGTTTGTGCACTGCTTGCTTGTAAGCTCTTTTTCTAGAATCTTTTCCAGAAAAGAAAGATGAGTGAGATGTTCAGGTGCTGCTACATGCCCCCCCATTAGGGGGGGTTGAATAATAATTCTCAGCAGGGCTTATCCTCAAGCTACCTCCTTTCATTGCACTCGGCTTTATTGCGCGCCACAGATGTTGCGGTTTTTAAACAAATTGAAGGGAAGACCCCCACCCCCACCCCCCGCAAAAAGATGAAGGCGAGCTTTATGGTGATACTCACTGTATTGATCTGGAACAGAGCCCACAACTTCCCTAAAGTATGCCTGTATATCACCATAGGACACAGGACTCCTCCACCTGGTCAGGTTCCTTAACGTAAGCCACAGACTTTTTTAAAAAAAATATATATTTTTATTGATTTCAGAGGAGGGAAGAGGGAGAGAGAGATGGAAACATCAATGATGAGAGAGAATCATCCATTGGCTGCCTCCTGCACACCTCACGCTGGGAATCGAGCCCCAACCCCAGCAGGTGCCCTGACTAGAAACTGACGGTGACCTCCTGGTTCATAGGTTGATGCTCAACCACTGAGCCGGGCCTGGAAGGGCACCACAGACTTTTTTTTTTTTTTTTTACTGTAAAGTGATAATAATCCTCTGGAAAGGTTGCTGTGAGGTTGTTAAGAGATCAGGTATGCAAAGATGCCTCGTATGTGCTTGGCATCTAGTGAGCCTTCTGAATTAGGATATAAATGGTATTAATAGTTAATTACTGTTATTTTTTTGTTCCTGCATGAATCAAACCTTTAATCTTTCAACCGAACTGCTGAGGGCTGCTGGTGCACCACTTCATTCTCCACCCTCACCCCACCCCTTCGCCTTGGAGAATTCTGGCCAGAATCAGAATGTCTAAGATTCCGCAATCTTTTCCTCTGCTCCAGCTCTCAGCAAGTGACCGGTCTGCTCCATCGTGCCGTTAAACAGGAGCTCTCCGACAGCCCTCCCTTAACGACGCCCTCAAACTTTCCTGCTTGAACACCCATCCCTTCCTTCTACTACAATGCAAGTAGTACCCTCCCTCCCGTGTTCCGGATCCCTCTCTTCTCTCCAGTCTAATCTCTACACTCCAACCGGGGCGAACACTTACAAACACAAACCCAACCATTCCATCCTCCAGCTTTTGCTCTCAATCCACCCCA